AGTTCGTGAGGGGCGGTTCATGGTTTTTGCGATTGTTGTGGGTAATCGTGGTTGATGTAGGATGAATTTGGCGGCAAATTGATCACAGAAGATAAACAACGGCTGCAAATCCTCTACTCGATTGACAATGGAAGCTAAGTTTCAGGTTACATGCGAGGAGTCTACAGAACGGGAGAATCAGTGTTTTGTTTTGCAGTCCACGTCACCATTGCTGCCGACTACCCGTGCTAGGGATACCCAACCCGCGTAGAATTGCCATGCTTCTCGAAAGCGGCCACCACGACAATGCTAGCGCCTGTTCTTTGGCGACATGGAAGGTTTTACAGAACAAGAAGTGGGGGTGTCAGTCCCGTCACCCCACGGGTGCACACCCGTTTGTCCTTTAGCTGTGTTTGCACGGCGAATGGCGCAAGAATGATGTTCCTAGATCGTGTATTGGTAAGAAAGTCGTTGAACCCATGTTTGATCCCACTCGAATGGCTGTCGAACCCATAACACTGCTTCCCAGCCGTCGAACAGAATCTAACGACCACCATCAGTCAACCCCAGCGATCCCAACGCAACGTCGGGACCCATGGCCCACTCCGGGAACGCCGTGCCAAAGATGGACCGAAAGTCGCCGGCATCCCACATCTGCATGTCGGTCGGGACCTCGAAGTTTGCTGGCGTCGGATAGCTGAGATAGTCTGATCCGACCGCATTGGCCCATGATTCCTCAGCTGCGGGATTGTCCTGCTGCATCTCCGTCGAGGGCTCTCCTGCCTTGTCTCGCGTCGCTGGGCTTTCCTTTGGCCCGAGCGCGTCGTCTTTGGCATCTGATGCGCGTTCGGCCTCGGTGATGCCTTGCGTCTGCACTTTGATGAAGTACTCGCGCGCAATCTGCGCAAACTCGGGGATCACTCTTCCAGGCAGCGCTCCCTTGGACGCAAAATCAATCATGCTGAAATATCCCGCTATGGTGTCCAGTAGCGTAAGGTTTGCCCTCGTCTCTCGATGGAGAGGGTTGTGGATGATGAAGTCAAACAGGATGAAGAGCGCCGTCAGCGGCATGATGCAAGTGATTCTGATTTGGTCAGCTACACGCTTTGAAAAAACATTTCGAATCCCCACCTTGGAAAGAATGCAAAAAACGGCTAAGGGAAATGGCACTTACGCAACAGGAACGTACGGCTCAAGCTCGATGTACCGTGAGAGATCCACAATTGTTCTCGCGGCATTCATCAAGTTGACCCTGCTCCGCTGGCTCGCGGCACCTCTCTCCTTGTCAAGATGCAGAGTGAGGCGCTCAATGGAGATGATGAGACCAAGGTAGAGATAATGCGTCTGGAGCACGGCAAGCCTCGTGCTGGCGTCCGTCAGAGCGTCGAAATTGGCCGGCTCGCAGGGACGGAACGCAGCCGGGATGCCCATCCTCCACTCCTCCAACAGGCCTCTCATGTGAAGAATGGCAGCCTGCAGGGCCGGCGCGGACTTTTGCGCCGCCGAGATGGAAAAGAGGGACTGATACGCTACGGAAGAGATGCGGCCGATTCGAACAAACGTCAGGAAAGCGTTGTACGCCCCGACAATAGATTCCGGTGCGGACGGGGCTGGGCAGGCAATGTCTTCGTCGGGAATCATGGAAGAACAGCGACTGAGGAGGCATTGCTGCTTCTCAAGGGCGTAAATGACCCAGAAGACACGAGCTTGGTCGGACTGAGCGGCCGAAGAGCGATGATAGCGGAGAACGATGGCCATGCGAGCAGCGTGGGCGACGAGCGCGTCATCGATCTGAAGGCAGCACGCGTTGAGAGCATAGATAGACTGTCTTTGTCAGGAGGTGTCACTACAGGTGGCGGAGACGACTGACCATGGCGGTGATAGCTTGGACGTTCTCGAGTGACTCTCGTGGGAGTATGATCTCTGCCATGTGGCCTAAGGATACCTGGAAGAGCTCCCACGATTTACCTGTGCCTGGAGAATAGGTCCCCTGGCGGAAGAACTGGCTTCCTAGTGCCAAGACGGCATGGTAGAGAGCCGAAAAGATGGGATTTTGATCAAGCACATGCGGCAACTGCGGGCTCAAGGCTTTGGTTTCGAAGATGTCACGGTCCAGGAAGGGGTATACGGGATGGAGGTTTTCGAAGTAGGCTAGATCGTCAGCACTGCTGCTGCTGAGAGAAAGCGAACAGCTCACCTCGAATGTAGTCTCGTGCCTCATCGGGAGTTACCTGAGGACCCTTTGGTGGCTTCATGAATTGAATCCGCGTCCATGGTGACGGCCTTGTCAAGCTGAGCCTCTCGACGATGATGTTGTCGAGCTTCTCGATCAGCTCACGTAAATGGGCACTGCCCATCCTGCTGGTTAGGGAAGCGACCCTCTGCTCGGAGAAGAAAGCGAGACCACAACTTGAGACTGGCTTCATGAGCAGATGCTACATCGTGAAGCATCGGATGAACTTACTCTGCTCATCGGGGACCTAAGATGGGGATTAGTGCACGACGGAGTGAAGGTTGATGGTAATTGTTGTCACACCTTGATGACAAAATCCTCGTTGAATAGGATCGGCTCATTGGGTTCCTCGAGACTATGCAAAATGCGATCGACGTACAGGTCGCCTGTATCGGGACTGCGGCCTGATGGCGGCACGGAGGAAGACACGTCGGGTTCTGGAACTTTGGCGCTGTCAGCAAAGCGGCGCAATCCAAGAGCGGGGGACCAAACCTTGGGCTTTGGGCCTCCGTCGAAAGGGACTGAAGTGGCAGTCATAATTGCGTGACTTCAAACAACAGAGCGAGGTGAGTGTCAAGGAGGTCTGAATAGCACGCGGCCAAGAGCCCGGCGCGCGAGGAGCAGAGGGGAACTTACGGCGCAGTAGGCACATATTGGGGGCTTTCCGAGTGCCGGTTCCGGTGCTGACGATGAGGGGAAGGACGGTTAGGAGAGGCTGCGAGGTTCATGTGAGAATTGATCCGACTCACCGATGCAACGTATCTTTCGACGGCGACATTGGTCGCATGTTCTGTTGACTTTGTGCATTCTGCGAGCCGTGAATGAGGTGCGTTCAACTGCAATCGCCCTGTGCCCAAATTGTAGGAGTCGACTTGGCAATATCGAAGGGCAGAGCAGCGAGTGGACAGAGGGCAATGATTGAACTTCCGTGATCCAGGCAGGCAATACTTGGATTATTCGTGGTTGTACCAAACCGTCGTTTTGGACCAGTCTTGCATCAGAGCTTACGTTGACAGCCCGAGGACGGTGTCCCGCGGGCTCCGAAGCCTCCACGTGCTGTAACGTGCTGCGCTTCAGGACCCTGTTGGGTGAAGTTGGGTGAGCAGTGAGCACCACAGCTTTGATGGACAATCGCCAGCCACTTGACTCAGTCAATTACTCAGGTATCTGCCGGTTAAAGCAATAAGAAGTGCTGATCTTGCTTTCTTGGTTGGAGGTAGTCATGAGGTATTCGCCAAGTTTTGCCTCCATATGCCAAATGTCCCGTCGCGGATGGGAGTTCATACTACCTCACTATTCAAACGGCGAGTAGACCATAATACTGCTGCATATGGTCAACAGTCCTTCTCACAAATGCATTGCCTGCGCCAATGGCTCATCTCATCCCTTACTGCCACATTTGCCTCAGTACATAGAATGACCACTGTCTGACTACCCACCTTAGGTGAGGTACCTAATGAGCGTTCCACATCTAAGCAAGTACTATCCCAGTACCTATACAGTCAAGGGCGGCCACGTCTATGACATATAAGTGACGTATAGGCATCTAGATGTACAGATCGCTATGTCCTTTATTTCAATTAGCAGGATATTTTCTGCTACTGAGCTATCGATCATACGAACTAATAGGGCCAAATTCAGTCAGTAAAGGGACAACTACCGCATATATGGAAAATCGTACAAGTCAGACATGTCTGCTAGGCTTCTTGAGACGGAGCTGGACCGGAGGTGGTGCGATTCAATGTGAGTGAGTTTTACTGGGTGAAAGCGAGGTTCGAGGTCTGGAAGACGCTCCAAGTGCGCATCGGAAACGTTAAAGGAACTCTTCGTCCAGCTTCAAGTTCAGGGGGTCATCGCTCATGGACGCGGCTCTGAGAAGTAGCAACCGATAGAAACGAGCTTGCCACCAGCCGCCGGACTCGACAAGCCAAGTATTGGCCAATTATCGTCCAGAAGACGAGTTCAGTCTTGTGGTGCCTGAATCTCGCCATCGTCAGACGCAGCCTAAGAAGATGGGATGCTGGGCGACTCTTGATGTATTAGGTTTAGTCCTCGGCCGACTAGGGTCTGCAGGCGACAAATCGGTCTTGCTGATCAACAACCCCCTCAATATTCCTCGTCTCCTCCACCACGAAGAGACAAGGCAGTGCATCCCCTCAGCTGACCACCGCCTGGAGGCTAAGCTCCAGCGCCACCGGCTCCCGTCAAGGCAGAGACATGAGGCCCCCCCTAGCCATTTAGGGTCCGCCGCATGGTGGCCCGATACGCGGAAATGGGTGTTGTGGTGTCACAATCACCCAAACGGTAGGGTGACACCTCAGCAATCTTTGCCCCAGACGGATTGGCGCAAGGGTGCACCGCATCCATCGCGCCAAGCACGCAGCCCCGGGAGACGTCATGGGGCGCCCAGCGAGGCTGATCGAATCTGACTTCTAGAAGGCGTCTACCTGATTCGGGAAATATTCTCGCGATCCTCCCATGACACACGTTGTGATGATGGTGTCGTCGATGCATTTAAAGGCCCTCGGTCGCAGCACCTTTTGTCGAAAAAATGCTCCTGAATCTTATGACGCTCCAAGTCTTTACATCAAGCCACACTACAAGTACACTCGAACAAACGTTACAAGCAAATCAGACGACCCAATCACCTAGCCTTGACGAGAAGGTCACCTGAGATCACCTTTTACAATCACTACCTCCAACCCCATCCAGCACCATGTGCTTCGGCAGCAGCAGCAGAAAAAGCAACATGTATGACTACAGCCCTCGCCCCGTCATGGCCGACGCATCAAGCTACCGGCGCCGTCAGCCGCGTAGTCGGTACGGAGGGAGGCATGGCCATTACACAGGCGGTTACGTTTTCGCGGGCGATGCTGGCTATGGTGGCCACCACGGGCACGGCTACGGTGGTGATGGCGGCGGCGGCGGCGGCTGCAGTGGAGGTGACGGCGGAGGCGGCGGCGGCGGCGGTTGCTAAGAGAGTTGGACTTTGTATAACTTGTATTGCGATACCCTAGCGATGATGCGCGAGGTTTTCTGTTTTCTCGAGACTCGAGGCAATTGAACCGGTCTTTTCCCAAGTCATCTTCTCTTGTGAAGCGCTTAGACCTGTTTCGCCTGTCCATCGGCCGCACCGGACTCAAGCAGACCCTGTAGAATCGCCAGATCCTTCAGTGCCTGTGCAGTGTTCTGCCTCTCATCAGCAGTGCCTTGTTCCAGAGTCGCGCCGAAAGCCTCGAGCTCGGCTGGTACGCCCGAAGACCTCGTAAACTCCCTTCTCTCCTCCACCTTCTTTCCATCTTGGCCCCGCTTCGCTACCTTGACGTCGACCGGCGTCATCGTGACCGATCCCTCCGTCGTGACAACCTGCACCCTCAAACCCGCTTTTGAA